CTAGCATTCTTGATTTCTCTGTACTCCTTAATAATCACAACAAAAACTTTTCTTCGATACACATTATGCAGCCAAGTAGTGTAAAGTTGGATTTTCATGATATTCTTGTCTGTAATGAGTAGCTTGCATTTCAGGCATCCCGCGATTTGAAGTGCACCTTATTTTCTTTGGAATCTAATTTCGCTATTAGTAACTATAGAAGAGGTGAATATGATTATGAAGGACATCAGTGTATAAATTCTTATTTTCTATTGTCGTCATATTAACTTACGTTTAGCGATTAGGTTCTTTAATTATTTTTTATCATTATAAAAAGTTAACTCAGAATAAAAAATAAAAGCAATATTTGAAAATTGCTCTTAATAACTGACATTAAAGAATTAATCATATTTAATGATAACATTGTATTTAATTTATATATAGGATATTTTTCATTTTGTTTGTATAGATTTTGAACATTCATCTAATTTGTAAGAAATAGAATACTTTTTCTACATTAAGTCCATTAATCATTAAAATCAATTTTTAAAGCTTTATCATAAAACATTAAAGCCTATTAATACTATTTCTGATCATGTAAGCATTCACCTATTAATTTTATTATAGCATCAACCTTTTATCCTTAATGAATCAAAATGATTTGGATTGATTTTTAGAGACTATTCAATCACTTCCATAGCTTCCTTAAACTTTTTCAACTATCTTAAAGAATTACCTTTTATAAAAAAGTAAATCATACCTTTAGTATATAAAGAACTACACTGCTTTGGATTTATTTACAAAGCTTTATCTGCCCAAGTGATAGCTTCATTATATTAACCAAGCATCCTTAAACTCTCAGCTAATAAATTAAAATTCAATCAACCTTTAGTATATAATGAACAACAATTCTTTGGATCTACTTACAATGCTTTATCTACGCAAATGATAGCTTCATTATATTAACCAAGCATCCTTAAACTCTCAGCTAATACATTCAAATTTAATCATACCTTTAGTAGATAATGAACTACAATGCTTTAGATCTACTTGCAAAGCTTTATCTGCCCAAACGATAGCGTCATTATATTAACCTAGCATCTTTAAACTCTCAGCTAATACATTCAAATTGAATCATACCTTTGCACCATAATGATAATTGATGTTTTGAATTAAAATCCAATGCTTAATCAAATATTTAAATAGCCTCCTCATATTTATCATCATTCCAATATAATTTATATCCTAAATCATTAATTAAATTACCTATTTCATACAATTCTTCTGATTTTTCAATATTTGATTTAGATATTTGATCATAATCTAATGCAAATAAATTTAAATCTTTCTATAATTTTTTTATTTAATCTTAAAATTCCTTTATCAATTCCTATAACAATTTTTCAATAGTTAATTCAAATTATTTGAAATGAATACTTTATGATAAGAAAGAATTAATTTATTGAAAATTTAAATTGAGTAATTATTATTTAGATATCTGATATTTAGATCTAATTCCTCCAATTAATAAAAAGAAGTCATTGTAAATCAAATCCATTTATTTATTGATTCTATTTATTAAAT